TTTGCATTCCATAGAAATGACCATCCTCAATACATTGACTATGTTCAAGATGTTGTAAGGATACTTTGATTGCCAAGCTTGAAGACGATGTTACCACCAAGTGGGCCAATTGATATCTTGCTTTCCAAGATCATGCCACACGGGCATATCCAGACTTAGACTTTGAATTTGATCCCCCTTCAGATAAGGAGGACAAGGTGCCAAGTGTTGAGAAGGAGGCTAAGGTTTTGGCTCCCTTTGTTTCTGAGCTCATTCCTAGTGGCGTTGAGGTACCTCCTTTATCAGCTGAGGTTTTGGCCTCTGAGGTGCATGTTCCTCCAATTGAAGTCCCTTCTCTTGTAGCTTCTTCTGTTCCAGCTATTCCTTCTAACTCCCCTGGGCTTCTTGAGCTGCCTGCATATCTTCTTGCTTCTAAGCAAATACCTCTACATGCCTTCTTAGGAACTGAACAAGGAGGTCTCTGAGCTCTCTAGGCAGCTTCGACCCTACATATACCATGTGTTCTGGCTCTTCATCGAGCTTGATAGGCTCTAGCTCTTCCGAGGGTGTAGCTCCTGAATCCAGCTCATCTTTCATGTCCATCTCATCCAGCTAGATGTTTTTTGCATCCTTCCTTTTCATTGATGCCATGTAGCAATCCCTCAGCATTCGTTGGTCTCCTTGGACCACTCCAATGCCATTTTTAGTAGGAAATTTTATAACCAGGTGATATGCAGAGGGGATGGCTCTCATAGCGTTGAGGGAAGCTCTTCCCAACAGAACATTGAATGCCGAGGAGGCATCAACTATTAAGAACCTTATCGCGGTGGTGGATTGGCATAGCGGGCTCCCCATAGTAAGGATGAGTTGAATCGCCCTAGGGGCAGTACTCTCTGCCCAGAGAATCCCAAAAAATGAGCTCTTACTGGCTTGAGCTTGTCCCTACCTATGTCCATTTTTTCGAAGGCGGATGCGAAGATAATATCGGCAGAGCTCCCATTGTCGATTAAGACCCGATGAACGGTCCTGTTAGCAATGATAAATTTAAACACCAAGAGATCATCATGGCGGTGCTGGTACCCCTCCAAGTCTACATCCGAGAAGTGATATCCAAGTTAATCTGGGGTGCCTTGTAAATAGTCTGCACCTCCAATACTTCCTCTATCCTGACCTTGTGCATTTGGACTTTTTTAGCTGAGTTGGTTTCCCCATCACCAGCGAATCCTCCAAAAATTATCCTGATCTCCCCCATTGGCTACTGATGTTGAGCAGGAGTTTGCTGCTGAGGTGCTGGAGAAGGGTGAGCCCTGTTCTGATTATCGTGGGCCACAAAGCGGGGTAGCTGTTCTCATTGAATAAGGAACTCATTTTTTTTTCAATTGGATGCAATCATCAGTGAGGTGACCATGGTCTTTCTGATACTCACAATACTTTGATGCATCTCCTTTTGCTGGATCTGCCTTCATCGGAGGTGGTCACCTCAAGAATTTCTCATTTTAAACTTTATAGAGAATCTGGGATATTGTTTTAGTGAATGGAATGAGCTGTCGAGGTGCGTACCTCAGCTTCAATTCTGGCTGCGGAGACATCTCCCCTTTTTTGGGGGGAATAATCTCTATCTCTTCTTGGAGACTTGTCTCGGCCTTTTTCTTTCCTGGGACTTCTGTCCCTTTTTTGCTCTTCTTTCTCTTTTTTCTTCTACGTGGATGAGTTTTTCACTTTAGAAAGGAGAGTCTCCTCACCATTAATGTACTTTTTTATCTTGGCAAGCACCTCGGCCATAGTGGCTTGGGGACTTTTTAGATATGGAGAACATTAAGTCCTTCGAATGCACTCCTAATCCAGCGATGAAAGTAGTGATGGCTAATTTTTTGTCTGGAACATTCACCTTCAGTGATTCCGAGTTGAACCTTTGGACATAGCATCATATGTTCTCGTCGAGTCCTTATTTTACATTTAACAGATGGTAGCTCAACTTTTGGTAGGTCCGACCTCCTATGAAGTGTGACACAAAGGATATGGAGAGCTCTCTAAAGGAGGAGATGGACATCGGGGCTAGCCTATTGAACCATGCTAAGGCTGAGCCCTTTAATGTGATGGGGAAAGCTCAATATCGTACAGGATCTTGATATCTGTGCAACTCCATTTGGTTATTATAAGTGTTGAGGTGATCCATGAGATCCTTTGTTCCATCAAAGGCCTCCATCTAGGGCATTCTAAACTTCAGAGGGAGGGGGAAGTGTAGTATATCAACAATGAATGGGGACTCAGGCTGCTATACCAGGGCGTCCATGGTTACTAGGTCTTACATCTCACAACCTCCTTCATGTGGCTGAGTTCCTACTGGATATCCTTGAAACAATGTTCCCAATATTGTTCACTTCTTTCCTGTGGGAAAGGGAGAAATTCGTTTTTCTCAGTTCCTCCATTTTGGCTTTGTTAACCTCCCTTAGTGGATCGAGACGTTGATGCTCCCCTTGCGGGGGTTCATCCTAGGTTGGTCGTGTCTTCTAAAGACATTGTAGGAGTTCCTCGTTCTGTTGTAGTAGACGCTGGTTGAATAGGCAAAGAGCCTCCAGTTTGTTATTCAAAAGGGGATTTGCCATGGAAGGATTAGTCTCATAATGGGTAGGAAGTCATGAAGATTTTCTTATTGTCTTCCACTGGTGGCTTCCTACTGGTTCTGCAACTGCTGAGTATTCAACTGGGTTCTGCTTATATTGCACTTAAAGACCAACAATTATTGAAGAAAATTAGTATATTTGTAACAGGAACAGTCGTTCCCACAGACAGCGCCAAACTGATTGTGTGTAAAACGTGATTGAGCAGAATATATATATAGTGGGATTTGATCTATGCTACAAGGCTATGGGGAATAATGTGGCAATTCAAGGGGGTAAGGGGTGGATTGCATAGAAGAGTTATAGTGGTTCACCAGTTCGAGAGCTCAACTAATCCACTCTTTAATAGAGTCTCTTACTCCTGAGAATTATATTGAAGATTATGAAAGAATTACACAGTCTTCTTAGTATCTTTAGTTGCCTACCTCAAAGTGAGAACTTTGTACAATATTTATAGTCTAGTTCCTAGTTTCATGGGGTTTGAGGCGAGATCTCTGCCCCTCCTTCGTAACGCTTTGCTTGATTTCAGGCGATGATTTAGGCGGTTGAGGTTCTTGCGCCTAGACTGGCGTTTATTGCCATTGTGAGGGGCGTCTAGTGGTTACCAACTGTTTTCTACTCATGTTCGTTGAGGTGTAGGTCTAGGGAGCTCAAGTTCTGAACCTTCAATCTTGAGCTTCCTTGGCTGAGCTCCCTTCCCGAGCTCAAACTTTGAATTTTTCTAGGCATCATCAGCACTGTTTCAGATTCGAAGTGGATCATGGTCAAAAATGCAAGTACCATTGGTGCAGGTGCCGGTACCAAAAATTCAAGTAGGCTTAGATACCGGTACCTATGATACCAAGTACCGTTATGTCCTTGATTTCTTTCACATCAAAAAACCTCCTAATCCTCATGTAATATGTTCATCTCTCCACCACTCATCCACACTTAGTTGTAAGGTTTCGAAAGTCATCATTTACCCCATGATTACCTGTAACATCAAAATTTCTATATTATTTCTCTAAGTAATTAAATGTAAAGTTGAGTTAAAATACATGTAATGAGACCGTTAAATATGTAATATTACGTGCTTATCATTTTGTATGAGAGAAAAATGGGTGGATCTAAAATGAATGATGGAAAATAGGAGGGTGGGAAATATTTTTACTTGTTTGGTTTCAAAGAAAAATGTTATGGAAAGGAAAAAGAGGTGGAAACATCATCCCTTGCGCCCAGCAATTTGTGTCCGTTTGTTTTAAGGCGGAAAGCTGGAGACAAGGGACACTTCGAGGAGGGGGTCAAACCAATTTACAATTATGACCTCCTAACTTTCATGTTTACGCAAATATCGGCACACAGACCTACGAAATCTTAAGTTGGACATTAATTAGACTCTCTAGGAAGCAACTTGTGCACCTTTTTTGGGCACTTTTTTTAGAAAACTTTCCAATAAATTCTAAAAGGCTGTTTTTTAAATTTAATACTAGAAAAGTGATCTATTTTTTTTTTTGGGAGAGAGGAGAAAAGAGGGTTGAACTTTTGATCTCAATAAGGCAAAATTTTTATAAAATAAAGAGTATCATTTGATCAAATGCCCATTGGTAAAAAATTGATCTATAATTTTCACTTGACATAGTAAAATTATATATATTTTTTACATTTTTTTCATTCATACACACTTTTTTTTAAAACAATTTGTTTTTTGATTCATGAAGAAACCGACATTTTGTACCAAATGTACATTTTTTTGCTATATATTTGTATGTATTCGTTAATTTCTATAGAAAGCTAAAGGTACTTTGGACATTTTCAAATGCAATTGAAAATTTGTTTTTCGTATGTATGGGTATAACAATAAATTAAGTTTGTAAGTGTTTTCTTTCCTTTTATTTTTGCTCTCATACCAAATAATAGAAAGATAATTTCTCCAATTTTTCATCCATTGTGTCAAACAAAGAGAAGAGAAAGTATATTTCTTTCCTCAAAAATAAAATTTTATCCCTTATATATATATAATATATTTTTCCGTCCCTCCTACCAACCAAACCATAAAAACACTTTCTTAAACAGTGAACGCCTCCCTTGTCGATCATGAAAAGTCTCAGATGACAAATATATTAGAACTAGCTTAGTAACTCAACTTCAACTTCAACTTCAACTCAACTCAACTCAAAAATGACGATCGTACCCCGACAAGTGGAATTTGGGTTGAATGTTGCTTTTCGACTCCTGAAGATTCAAAACTACAGGTAGATGATGAGCCCACTCATTTGGATCACTTTGGACACCCCCGTGGTCTGAAATGGGTTTGGTGAAATGTGTTGCGGGCAAAGAATGGCATAGATTCGCAATGGGATATAAACAAGGAGGGCAGTATTGTAACTTCATAATGTCAGGTAAGACTATTACAGTAACAAGGGTGAACAGTGTAATTATATAAACAACATAAAAAAAATATATAAACAGCATAAGGAGCAGTGAAAGTCTGAAAAACAACACGTTGTGCTTATAATTATGTTACACGCACTATCTAAGCGCGTGAATACTTTTTCTTCTTCTGATGTACTAAGGTTCCTATCCTGCCAAACAATGGAGAAAATTACAATCTCAATATCTAAGTTCTCGCTCAACGTCCAAACCCAACAACTCTGGAGAGAGACAGAGACGGAGAGAAACAAATGAGAAACCCATCGAAACCATCGTCAAAATCAGGTGGTGGAGCTGGTTCTTCTGGGTCATCGACGAACAGCAAAACGACGCCGTGCTGCATCAAGGTGGGGCTGAAGAGAGGTCCATGGACGCCCGAAGAAGACGAGCTCTTGGCCAACTATATCAGGAGGGAAGGTGAGGGACGGTGGCGGACGATGCCGAAGAAGGCGGGTCTCCTCCGCTGCGGGAAGAGCTGCCGTCTCCGGTGGATGAACTACCTCCGCCCCTCCGTCAAGCGCGGCCACATAGCTCCAGATGAAGAAGACCTCATCCTCCGCCTTCATCGCCTGCTCGGCAACAGGTATGTACAAATTGAATAATATTGTCAGGGCAATCACTCTCTCTCTCTCTAGATTTTAATTGTGTTTCGGATATGGGTTTCCTGCGTTTTGGTTGTTACGGGATATGGGTCTCTCTCTCTCACACACAACTTGCTCTCTCTACAGACAAGAAATTTGAGTATTAGATGCGAGCTTCTAATGTTTTGGTTGTGACAGGATATGGGTCTTTCTTTCTAGATAAGAATTTTTTGTTTTGGATAAGAGCTTGTTGGCTTTTGGTTGTGACATGATACGAGTCTCTCTCTCTATCGTTTCTCTAGACATAGATTTTTGTTTGGACATGGATTTCTAGGGTTTTCGTTTTGATAATATGACTCTCTCTGTCATACATACACGCACACAATATTGGATGTGTGTGTGACATATGGTTGTGTAGGTGGTCTTTGATAGCTGGGAGAATTCCGGGACGGACAGACAATGAAATAAAAAACTACTGGAACACTCACCTCAGCAAGAAGTTGATCAGTCAAGGGATAGATCCCAGAACCCACAAGCCATTAAACACCAATATTTCCGACAAAGCTTCTTCATCGAACGCATATCACTCCTCACACTATGACGCTAATCTTGTTCTTTCATCTCTTGAAGAAGCTCAAACTGATGGTCCAACCATCGTCAACAGTGGAAACAAGACCTGTAATCGAATTGACCTTGATCAGTACAACAGTGTGGCATCAGAAAATGGTGATGATGATGACGACGATGATGATGATATTAATTATTGCACCGCCACCGACGATGTGTTCTCTTCATTCTTAAATTCTTTGATCAATGAGGATGGGTTCAACTGCCAAAACCAAGTGGAACAGCAAGAGACTAATATGATTGCAAATGGGTCAGATGTTTTGATCACTTCTACCCAGACTTTTGCCTTTGGTGATGGTTGGGATGCTCCGATTATGTCTTCTGCTTCTGCTTCTGCTTTTAGCCACAAAGATTCGAAGAAGCTTAATGAGCATCTTGGAAAGCATTTATGAAGCACTTAATAATCACATAGATGAACCTATATTGGGTTAGTTGATAAAAATTCTAGGGTTTGTAACGTTATTATGTGTATCGTGTGTACATGTTTTGTGCTTTTCTTCCACTTCATCGCCTCGCCCGTCTTTTATTGTTGTGGTGTTGAGGTTAAATGTTATTACAACTCTCAAAAAAAAAGCCAAACAATCATACATTTCAATATTTGTCTTATGGTATGAATGCATGTGTTTCTCTTTTGCGTAGGCCGAAGAAATTGAAGCCATAAAACAAAGGTTTGTTCTAATTGGTTTCCCTTCTACTCCCATATCGCCCTCTCCCCATCGAGGAAATATTCAGCTTAAATGTGATACTGGATGATCAGTGACACCTGCATCATTGTACAATGATAAAGCATTACATAGAGTCAGCAAACCTTGTAAATTTCTTGTCTCTTACTCATGCAACTCAATCTAAACGTATCCTTGACGACGAAAAGTCATCATTGTATTGAATATACTCCCCCTCCCTCACTTCACACGATGCTAAGTTGTATATGATGCCACACAAGTACCCCCTCATTTATTTTTTCTCTCCTCCTTTATAAGTGTACTCATATTTGACGTGCACCTACTGAGGATTAATAAAAGTCTACACCGAAGAGATGAAAATTCATATGCCAAAGGAGATTCAAAAAGTCGTAAAAGTTTTGATATCACTCAAGATTGTACAGTACAGTAGTCGTTGGAAGAGCAAATACCAAACGGATGCCAGTAGAGTTGGGCAAATCAAACACTACAGTAGTCATTGTAACAGTGGGCACAGTAGCGGAGCAACCGTTGGCAGAGCAGTTTTGGAATGTGCTTCAGCTAGTATTAAAGGAGAAGAGGAGGATGGAATTTGCTTGGGTAGAGGTGAAATGTTGGATACTGAATCCTCGGGAGTAAGCCATTGTGGAAAATTAGTCTAATCAAGAAACAATCAAGAAAATCGCTATAAAGAACAGAATTCAGACAAAGAATACAGTGGAAGCTGAAAGAGTTCAACTAAGAACAATATAAGTTACAGTAATGAAGGAAGAAAAATGAAAGAAGAAAGCCAAAGCTTTGACCTCAGAAGATCTCCAATGGAGATTTTTTCACTTCACACTTTCTGTTAGTCTTACAATGGATATTTATAGAGAATACAAAAGCCTCTCACTCTCTCTCTTATTATCAGTGCGTAATGTACACACTTGTGCAAGTGGTTACAACTGGAATATAACAACCTGCTGACTTGTCAGAATTTAAGGATCTGCTTTAAGTATGGTCACAGTGCTCTTGACTGTAATCACAGAATGAACTATTCATATCAAGGAAAGCCACCTTCCAATCAACTAGGATCTAGGAACTATGAGGGCTACTACTGAACCACCACAGTCAAACTCAAACCACTGGCTTGGTGATACAGAGCTACAAATCATCTTACAGCTGAACTGGCCAACCTATATCTTCCTACAGCCTATCAAGGAACAGATCAAATTGCAGTTGGCAATGGTGAAGGTTTACCAATCACACACATTGGACACTCACTTCTTCAAACACCTTTGCCCACGTATAATCTAAACAAAATTAGTAGAGTTCCTTCAATAGCGTCAAACTTGCTCTCTGTGCATCAATTATGTTCTGATAATAATTAACAGTTTTTTTTTTATGCAAAGCAACTGATTATTCAGGACAAAGCCACAGGGATTGTTCTTTATCAAGGTAGGAGCTGTAATGCACTTTATCCAATTGCTGTAACTACACCTTTAATTGCTGCAACTGCATCTCCTTTGAAATCATCTTCTCAAGCATTTGTTGGATCAAAGATTTCTTCTCTCATTTGGCACTCAAGAATTGATCATCCATCATCATAAATTCTTAGTCAAATTCTGCATTCTGCATAGATTAATACTGATATTACCTCACCTAAAAGGGGAACCACCATACAAGGATGGGTTGTCCTCGACTGAAGCATGTTATAAGTATCGCTTGAGGTGTCAGGGGTAAAGCTTTGTGTTATATATAAGTAATTCGGTCTTCCCGGGTGCCCGAGGGGCTTTCTTTGTGAGTCCTTAAGATCACTGAAGGGCATTCTAAGTCGCTGTCAAAGGAAAGGTCATAAAAGCCTTTGTCTGTCTTGCAGCTCCTCTTTTTGGGCTCCCTGCTCTATTTGAAAGCTCTTTATAAACCTAGAAGATATTGCTTTCATAGGCTTGTTACAACAAATAAATGCCCTACAAGAGAGACTTCTTCCTGGTATAGTATCTACGACCTACTCTTTTGCTTTACACGTGAATATATAGCTATCTATATATCATATCCGGCTTCTACTTTATTGCCGTTCTATTCAGGACGACACGGGTCATGTTCTATAAAAATAAAATTTATATTTTCTATTCAATGAAATGTGGAAACATGCTAGTTTCCTGCGAATTCCCTATAGGCAACATAAACATATATAAAAAAGATACTAAAGTGCTAACACCCTATCTATAGTATAGTAATAGGTCTTTTTAATAAGGCTCGTGTAGGGGTGCTTACTTTTTTGGCTCCCTTCGCTCCACTAGCCTTGATTGGCGGATGGAAGTACCAAGGTGCGTATAGTGATATTGTATATAAGATAACATTGTATTTAGGAGTGATCGTTCCTTCTTCTTAAAAGCCGTTGATGATCTCACTTTCGAAAGAGAGCCCTGAGTTCATGTTCGTAGCTAAAGCAAAAAGGGAGCTAAATCAGGGCCACTATTATGAAAGAATAGAGTCAAGGCTACACAGTAAAAGCTAGTCTCTAACAAGAAGCAAAACTAACTTATTTATTAGCGAAGCTAGCTATAATACCTTTTTGCTTTAGACACATGGCCTCTGAAAGAGGCACCCTATGTAACTTTCTGGTCCGGTAAGTGAAAGAAAGAAGGTGGATAGCTAGCCTTAGTCTTTGTATTACTAAGTTTAAAGGTAAGACTATTTACAGATATTAAAACTCTTTCCTCATCTTGTTATTCTTGACCAAATGGAATTACGTAAGGGACGGACTTCTCTCACTATCAGACTATTAAGTAACATGTAAAGTAAATAGTATTTGTTCCTTCCCTCCGACGTAAGGCAAAACCATCCCTTTCTCTACCGCTATTGAGATAAGTGCTGATATCAGGATTTGTCTTTCTGGGCTAACTCTGCCAAGATTCAATCCTAAACACCCACTGCACGAGTGGAATACCACTTAGTCAAGTAGAAAGGGCAACCTATGAGTGAGGCAAGCTTGGAACAAGTTGAGACTTACGAACCAAATACCAAGTCAGAGACTACTGGACGTCTCACGAAACGACTCTCAAGGAGGATGTTGAGACTATTCAGGAAAAAAAATCTTTTTTTTTTTGTTTTTGCTTAATCCGCCTTTTCTAAAGATTAAGGAGTACACTTGTACTCTGGCTAATAGGGGAAAATTTCCTTTTTCAAAGTAAGCAAGCTATCTTATGTAATTAATGTAAAAAACCCGAGGAAAATAACATCAAGTAGAAACAAACAAGATCTTACGGCATGATTACAATATTTTTTTCTTTTTCTTTATCTCTCTTCTATGGAAAGAGGTAATGATACATGATGTGATATACTGATCATTTAGTTAATGAGACGTACGTAAATCGACGTAACTCCATGTATATGTTATTTGGAGCTAGAACCAATTAATAGAATAAAATTCAATAATGGTAAGCCTAGGGCTGGGCGATGAACATGGCTCAAGAGTTTCTATACAAAGTCCTAACTTCACTGACGCATTCGCTCTTTTAAAGCGATGTCAAATTCTCACCCCCGAGGTTTCATCAAAGATCTTATTGATCTCATAAAAGATGTCTTCCTTCATTTGATAGTATGAAACCTTTAACCGAATCGGGCACTCAACAGTTTTCTAAAGTGCCCGATTTGGTGTAACAGTTTTCAATGTGTCAATTCTGGGATACACGACTAAGTAATAAATAGATACCTTTACCAAATCTGAGGTATTTGATTGGTTCGTTTCAGCTTAAGCCAAACACTCAAAGAGTAGCATTGGCTGCTATATTGGAGCTGTGATATTAGCTATGGGTTAGGTGAATCAGTCACAACAGAGGGAGACTTCCCCTTCCCCCTCCCAAAAAAAAAGTCACAATAGAGGGAATTGTGCTTTAATGGATGTTGTTACTTAGGCTACTGCTATTAATAGTTTATTGTAAAATTCTACGATAGAAGAAAGATACGAAAGGAAGATTGAACAAAGATGTATCTTTAATAGGATACATAAACTTTTTCAATATGAAGGGAATTCTGATGTACGAGAATTCTAATACACTTACTCAAAAAGACAAGACACAGGGTACCTTTGGAAATCAAGTCAAAGCCCCCTTGTTTCATTCAGTCATTGCAAAAAACAAATCAAAAGTAATATAACAATCTAACGTGCTGAAGCGGATTGTGGTTCATGGACTATAGTTCCATTTCCCCGCTTTAGTGTTTGAGTTATCCGTATGGTCCTATCTTTTAGAGAAGGTTCATGTAACGGAGGACGACTTCTCCCTTGGGTGTCTATGGCCGGAACGAGTCCGTTTTACATGGGATCGTCTAAACAATCGTTTCACTGGTATCAATTTAGATATTTTTGAGAGGGTAGCGGGGTTGGTTTTTGGAAAAATGACCAAGCCTACATTTCCTTTGTCTCAAGCAAGGTCTTTACTACCTTCAGAACTTCTGCATAGTGATGTCTGGGGTCTTTCTCCAGAATTATCACTTCATGGTTTTAGATACTGTGTCATTCATTAATGATTGTACTAGATACACATATGCTTGTTTCCCTTTGTAAATAAATTTGACGTTGCTACTATAATTCAGAAGTTCAAATCATATGTGGAAAACTTATTTTCTTAGAAATGGAGGAAGTTCAGGACAAATGGTGGAGGTGAATATACTCGTCAGTAACTACAAAAAAATTTCTAGGAACATGGCATTCAACATCAAATGAGTTGTCCCAAATACTCTAGAATAGAATGGAGTAGTAAAAAAGAAGCACCATACACATGTTGAGACGGTACTTACTCTTATGTCTCAAGCATTG